TATTGTAATAACCAACTTTCTTGCTTTTGATTAACTAATGTTAGGGATTTTGATAATTTTATAAGAGTATTTTTATCATTATTATTATTAAATGGGTTAATTAAGAACCATCCAACCAATTCTTGCTAAAATTCAACAACTCGAGCACACCAGTCCTTCCACAATTTCTGATGAATTCATGGATTACTGAGCTCAACTGGTTTTCAAAACATCTAGCCATTGCAATAGAGCCGTCTCAAAACATTTGTAACGCTAGACAAGAGTTATTTTGGGAGCCTTCTAATAATATAAATATATATTAAAAAAATTATTTCAAATTTATTTTCTTGCCTTTTGAGACCCAAAATCACTAGGAGAGGTGGACGGTGATCGGCAAGCTAACGGGGTCAGGTTGATGGGGTGGTGTTTGGAGAGCAGTTGTTGGAAAAGCAATGGGTGGTGAAATAGGTAATTTAATGCCCGCATTGGTCAAAAAAGACTTGAGAAGTCGTAACCCAAAAGGTATTGGTAGCCGGTAATTGATGGAGTAAACAAATGAGGTATGATAGGGATTTTGGTGAGAGGGTCGAGGGGAGGAAGATGGTGGTGTCAGGGAAGGCCAACAATGCCGGGTACATGCTAAAAAGGCCGGAAATGGTTGTCGTGCGCGGTGGAGTTGGGTTATGAGATTCGTAAAAAATCAGCCAAATCGAGGGCTATCAAGGCTGGAAAAACACTTGGAAAATGATGAAGTGATGATTCTGATCAATTTTGGTGAGAAAATCAATTGGAATCAGTTCCAAATGGCTGACGACGGAAGAGGGGTGGAGATGATTTATGTGAATGTCGAATTTTGAGATGGAATTAGGATTGAGTAATTTAAGACATGTAAATAACTATTTTAGTATTTTATTGTTAAAACAAATTTCAATGTGTTAATTTAAGAGTGTAAATTAGAATATATAAAATTAGAGGTACAAACTTGCTATTTTATCAAACTTTAGTTAAACATATATGTAAAAAGTTTATAATAAATTTGGGTCTTTTTGGCTTTTTTTTCCCCCCTTGGCCTTGATAAAAAATCATACACCATTTCTATTTTTATAATATATTAAAAAAAATTATAAAAAATTTGAACCTCTATTGTGTAGGGCCCTAGGCAGGTGCCTCACCTGCATACCCCTTGAGCCGGGCCTTATTGCAGAGAACTAATATTACAAACAACAGACAAAAACTCGAAGAGTCAGAGAGACCAAACCCAGATTAAGAACGCTGAGTTATTGAGGAACCACCAGTGCATTTAACTCCCTTCCAAAAACAAGGGTTCGGCTGCTTTGTAACATCCCATCCTAAGTCTGAATTGTTTAGAAGTTGAGATGGTTTGATCATGGCGATGGGAGTGCGGTTGACTGGAGAGACTTGGATGCTACAAAACAAGATTTCCGAAGACTAGACTGGCTGAAAATAGTTCTAACACTTTCTTATACTAGCTTTTCTACACTTTTGACCAACCAGACTTTTGAAGCTACGATATTTAGTCACATGAAATACAAAATAGTTAAGCATAAACAAATAATCGTTTACAGTAGCATAACACTATTAAAACACAGGGTATGACAATCCTTCTTGTCTCATGCTATGAATGGAAACTGCAAAACTCAATCACTTGAGCAAGAAAGAAGTTAGAATGAAAGTCTATTAACAACTACGTACTCTGCAAATTTAACAGTACACATATATTCAAATGATCTACAACAATTTCATTCATTTCAGTTAGAAAATTTCACAAGCAACTATACATGGTTTCCATATAAGCTAAAATAAAATCAGAGACAAGTCATAAGCTTAGACTAAAACTTAAGATATCTTCCCCGTGTAAATTGATCAAAACAAAGACTATAAGTGACATTTATACACGGTTGTCACCGCCGATAAGGCATGCGAAGATGGTGATTCACGAGAACGGCGGCCACGAAGAGCAGCCTAATGAGTCATGATCACCGGTGAGAGTGTGATGAGATGGTAGGCGCTGGCGGTGGTGAAGATAGGCTTAGGGATTTAGAATTGATTGGGGTAGTTTTCTATTTTTAGGGATATACCATTTACGTGTTTTTTTTTTTTTTTTTTTTTTTTTTAAAAAAAAAATTGAAAAGACAGCCAGGTTCCCGCGTCTTCTTCAAAACCCGACCCAGGGCCCAGGCAGGATGGGTAAATTAGTAAATTTGGTATATAATAAAAATAGGCAACAAGAATTCAACCGTTCATTTTCCACATTCCAAAGTTCACAATTATAATTTCTCTTTTTAATTTGAAAATTAACTTGACTAAAGGATAATATATACCAGGGATTTATATTTTAGTACAATGATTAGGGACCTCGCCTGTGTGACAACTCAGCCAGGGGATCGGGTCATAGTTTGACCAGTCTAATTGGTTTGACCGACAATTGAACCATCCATTCCATAGGTTTAAAATCTAGCAAACACACCGCTGATAAATACACATAAGTTTCTTTAAGTTTGAAATCCAATAAAAACACCCTTATAGACAGGTGACAATCGATGACCAATCGAACTTTGGGATAATGGGGGTTTTGGTGGGGAAATGCCGATGAGGCAAATGGAGGGGTCTAGGGTGATTTTCGACGCCGAGAACTACCAAAAAAATTAAAATCGCGAAACCGTAGGGTGATCGACGGTGATCGATGAGCAATCAAGGTCTGGGGTGTTGGGGTTTTTGGTGGGGAGATGCCGATGAGGCCAATGGAGGGTTCGGGAGAGATTTTAGGCACCCAAAATCCATCGGAATGAGGGAGAAAGTGCCAAAATGTGAGAGAGGTTGAGTGGAAGGAGTAGGGGTGTTTGTAATTTTGATAACCGGTTTTCTACCTTTGTCGATTAATTTATGATCTAATATAATTTCATTCAAATCAAAGGGAGAAAATTGTTATTGGAGTTTGTATGGTCGATAAAAGGAAGCTAGTCATAATGTGGAGTGGCCATGCAACCTGACCAATCACGCATGACATAGCTTGGTTGCAACCTTGTCTCGTGATTAGACCCGTCATTGTTTTCTCTTTTATTTTTAAAAGGAATAGTGATTTGGGCTTATTAAAGCTATAAGGTGGGTATTTAGGATTAGTAAGAGGGTAATTTTAGATTTTCAAAAAACAAAAGTTTGAAATACTCTTTATACCCTTCTACCATTTATTTTAACTGTTGACCACTAACATATTGGTAAATCTTTGTTAGTTTTTGAATCCTTTGGTAAGTTAGTTTTCTTTCATTATTCTTGGAGTAAAGTTTATGTAATTTTCTCTCAATAAAATGACTTCCTAGTTGACAAAATTTGAGAATGAAGAAGAGTGGCATATTGTTACCTCTTTTGAAATTTCCACTAAGTATCCTATTATCATGTAAATTAGTAAAACAATAGTAATTCAACATATTACACAAATAAAATGAAAGAGATGATTTGATCCTTCATCAAGAAGTGTTGGAAATTAATGAAGTCAAACTAAATAATGTCATTAAATTAGAATTAGGTGGATTAGATCGAACATCTTTTCACATTAAGGAATCTTCAAAGAAAATGAATTGAAATTGAGAAAAAGGACATGACATTTATTTACAACTTCAAAAGTTTCATAATTTACAATATCACCCTCGGTTTTTTCATCAAGATATGTTGTTTCATTTACAAATACATTAGAATTAACGCCGTTAACGAAATTTTTTAACTATTGAGGTGACATTTTGTACACAAAGACGAAGATAACCTTCGACTGGGATTGACTTATCTTTGACTTGACCGAATTTCTAAAAATGTATATTAATAATTTAATATGAAAATAAAAAAAGAGATGAAGAACTTGTGCTCTGATGAAAATCCAAGTCCAATTGTTACGCGAAGTGCAAGGCCACCACCGCCGTGACATACAGATCGCGGCCACCACCATTACAGAATTTCTGAAACCAATCTTCACAAAGAATTTATATGGCACAAACAAGATTTTTCACCGACCAAAGAACCCATACACCACCAACAGAATGAACGCCATCACCAATTGAACCCATGGTCAGCTAGGTGGAAAAAAGAAAGAAAGAAAGAGATGTGCGGTAGTTTGAAGGAAGAACCAATCAAATCAAAACGAAAAAGTAAAAATCAACCCTAGTTGGGAGCACCAACCCCGAGCAGCCGCGAACACCACCGGATCGGTTTACTATGAAGAGAGAAACATGAAAGTGGTGCGTGAGGTTTCGGAGGGGACTCGCTTTCTCCGCCGTGATGTCGCCTTTAAACGGTGGAAATTGGAAAGTCAAGGTTTTGATGGTTAGGCTTTTCTTTTAGGTTTTAATTAATATTTATTTTCTTATAAATATAATGTGTATGTGAACTACCTGTTTTGCCCTTACTCCATTTAACGTCGGTTAGAATTGCGGGGTATATTTTCTCTTTGTAAAGTTTGTGAAGAGAGAATAAGAGGAGAAATTTCTTGGGTAATTGGGTTCATCTTTTTATATAACAGGGAAAAGTTCTCTGCCTTCCCATCAAACCACAGCCAATTAGCTTTCTTTGAAGCTCTTTACGTCAAAGTTCATTCATCGGAATTCTGTAAGTTTGTTTTGTTTTTATTTTAATTTTTTAAATATATGCATGACTATGCACCTGAAATAGGATTTTTGAGAGTTAAATAGAATAATTAGAAGAATATAGTTGGTTTTTTTTTTTTTTTTTTTAAAAAGCATATATGCTTTTAATTTCAATCCTTAATTTCTTGCTAACATAATGTAATCATATAAGTTTAATTTCTCAGTAGCTTTTATACAATATCAGAGCTGAAAATTATATGGTATGCATGTATTTTTGTTTAAAAAATGATATTCCGCTCAAAAATATATAAATGGTCAAGAAGAAATTAGTTACTTATATTTTTCAATTCTATCAGGGTCTTACATAGGCGTAGACGACACGTATAACTTGGCAAAAATTAGCTTGGAACTATCAATCGTATTGCTTCCATGAGTATCCAAAGAGTTTTTTCTTCTGATACTCATATTTGTTCTTCTAATTGGAAGTATGATGTCTTTATAAGCTTTAGAGGTGAAGATACTCGGAAGAATTTCACAGATCATCTATATGCAGCTTTGACTCGAGAAGGAGTTAATGTTTTTAGAGATGCCGAAGAACTTGATCGAGGAAAACCCATTTCTTTGGAGCTCCTTCGAGCAATTGAAGAATCAAGATTTTCGATTATCGTCTTCTCAAGAAACTATGCTAATTCCACTTGGTGCTTGCATGAAATTGCTAAGATTGTTGAATGTAAGAACACAATGGGACAAAATATTTTTCCCATTTTTTATGATGTTGATCCATCCATGGTAAGGAAACAAACAGGGACATTTAAGAAAGCTTTTGCTAAGCATGAAGAAACTTTTAAGGAGAATAAACAAAATGTTCAAATATGGAGGAATGCTTTAAAAGAGGTTGCTGATCTCTCTGGATGGGATGTGAAAAATAGGTAATAGTTTTTCTTTTTCATGTTATGAATGTGTCATAATGTTTTTTACTGTAATTAACCAATTATTAAAATATCAATAATTTCATTAGACTATGGTGATTGCTTGATTATTCTTTAAAAAAATCTCTTTTATTAACTACCAATCATGTCCTTATATTTATTCAATTCAAAGTTTTAGAGACGTTGGTTCTACATTAAGTAGTTGACTGTGTATAATATGATAGCAATGGTAACGAAAGACTGAAATTCAGAGTAAAAATATATAAAGAACAGAGAAGAATTCATGGTACTTGTAAAGTTATATAGTAATTTTTTGTCATACATTGATCACTACTATTGTTCTTTTTCATTTGTAGACATGAATCAGAATTCATACAAGATATTGTCAAAGAAATATCAATTAAATTGAGTCTAACAACATTGATGACTTCTGAAGGCCTAGTGGGAATAAATTCTCACCTTGAGGAACTTAAGTTGCTGATAGGTACAGGGTCTAACAATATTCGCATGATAGGGATATGTGGAATGGGAGGAATAGGCAAGACGACAATTGCAAAAGTTTTTCATGACTTGTTTTCATATCAATTTGAAGGGAGTGCTTTTCTTGCCAATGTCAGGGAAATTTCAAGAGAAAGTGGCCTGGTTACTTTACAAAGGCAACTTCTTTCGGAAATTCTAAGGGGAAGAGATAATAATATATTCAATAAGTTTAATGGAATTAATGAGATAAAAAGAAAGTTGTGTCACAAAAAAGTTCTTGTTGTTGTAGATGATGTGGATCATATTGACCAACTAGACAATTTAGTTGGAAAGCATGAATGGTTTGGTTTAGGAAGTAGGATCATAATAACAACAAGAGATAAACATTTGTTGATGACTCACAAGGTTGATGAAGTTTATGAAGCTAAAGAACTGGATTGTGATGAAGCTCTTGAACTTCTCATCTTGAAAGCCTTTAAAAACCAACAGCCTTCAGAAGAGTATTTGGAGTTGTCCCAAAGTGTTGTAAGGTATGCTGGTGGTCTTCCATTAGCTCTCAAAGATTTGGGTTGTCATTTGTTTGAAAGACCTTTAGATCAATGGATAGACGCGCTAAAAAGACTCAAAAGAGATTCTAATAAAGAGATTTTGGATGCACTTCGAATAAGTTTTGATGGTTTAGAAGAAATTGAGAAGAAAATATTTCTTGATGTTGCATGTTGTTTTAAAGGAGAGAGGAGAGAATATGTAACAGAAATTTGGGATGGTTGTGATTTTACCCCAACTATTGGATTAAGTGTTCTCCTTGAAAAATCTCTTATAACTATTTCAGAAGTCAATGAACTATGGATGCACGATTTGTTACAAGAAATGGGTCGACAAATTGTTAAGAGAGAATCCACGGAAGAGCCTGGAAAATGTAGTAGATTATGGGATGAAGAGGACATTCGTCATGTTCTAACAACGAACACGGTACACACCTAGTGAGAAATATTTTATTTCCTTCAATTTTTAACCGATTATATCTATATGTATATATAGTTTTATCTTTGTCTCCAATTTTGTTTGTCACTTATATTTTTTATCTTAATTCTTTAGGGGACTGAGCTAGTTGAAGCCATAACACTGGAAACAGAGCTCAATGTAAGTGCAAGTGCTAAAGCCTTTTCAAAGATGACCAACCTAAGATTACTCAAGATTAGAGGAGTACAACTTCCCAAAGGTCTTGAGTATCTTTCCAATCAGTTAAGATTACTTGATTGGCGTGGATTTCCTTTAGAATCATTGCCATCAAATCTTCAGTTGAATAAACTTGTTGAACTTAAAATGGACGGTGGCCGCATCAGACAACCATGGAAGGGGAACAAAGTAAGATAATTATTGAATATTTTTCTTTTTTTTTTTTTTAGTAAATAATTATTGAATATTTTTATGCATTCATCCTTTAATTAATGTGGTAACTATCCTAAGAAATGCGTTTTTTTTCTTTTGTTTCTTCAATTTTAACAGCCTTTCAACATGTTGAAATCAATTAGTTTCAACTCCTGCAAGAGCTTGATCAAAACACCAGATTTCACAGAGATTCCAAATCTTGAGGAGTTGACTCTTGTGGGATGTTCAAGATTGAATGAGATTCACCCATCTTTACTAGCTCATGAAAAGATTAAACGGATGGATCTGAGTTATTGTTCAAGTCTCAAAACTCTTCCAAGCCAGATTCATATGGAATCTCTTAGAAGTCTTAGTCTTGGTGGTTGCTCAAAATTGAAGAGGTTTCCAGAGATTATAGGAAGTATGGAGTGTCTCTTGGAGCTTATTTTATATCATACTGCTATTAAAGAATTGCCTCTGTCTATTGGGCTTCTATTTGGGCTTGAATTCTTGGACTTGAATAATTGCAAAAATCTTTCCAGTCTTCCAATTACTATAAATGGCTTAAAATCTCTTAAAACCTTGTTTATCTCTCATTGGTCGAGACTTGTGAGTCTTCCGAGTATTATAGATAGTTTGAAATCTCTTCAAAAGTTGTCTATCTCTCATTGTTCGAGACTTGTGAGTCTTCCGAGTACTATAGATGACTTGAAATCTCTTAAATACTTGTTTATCTCTCATTGTTCGAGACTTGTGAGTCTTCCGAATGGCTTGAAATCTCTTCAAAACTTTTCTATCTCTCCTTGTTCAAATCCCATGACTTTTCCATCTAATTTGTGTCATATTAAAAAGTTGCAACTTCGTGATTGTAATCTTGGGGATGGGGCAATAACCAGTGATTTGCTTGGAAGCTTCATCTCATTCGAGGAATTAGATCTAAGCCAAAACAATTTTGTTTCGTTACCTGCTAGCATCAATCGTCTTTCTAACCTCAGATTTCTTAGCTTGAACTGTTGTAGGAGGCTTCAAATTCTGCCAGAACTTCCTTCCAATATAAGTTCACTTAGTGTAAGCGGTTGCATTTCCCTGGAAAGATTATCTAATGCATTAAGATTATGCAATTCGAATTTGTCAAATATTTCATCTTTCAATTGCTTGAAACTCGATGGTACTGGTGAAGCATTTTCAATTATGAAGGAACGCCTCAAGGTCTGTCACTTTCTCTCTCTTTTTCGAATAAGATTTTTTTTATTTTATCCGACATTTCCCAAACTTTTAGAGATCTTGTATTATCTGTCTAACTTTATTTACATATATATGGTCACGATTTTGCTTTTATCATTATTATTAGTAGTAGTATTATTACATTTCCTTTCTGCAATTAATAACCGAATAAATCCTTGTATTTACATTATGCAACATGTCTATTTTTTCCTATCTCATAGAAGCTTTGTTTTATTTTGGGTACAGCTGACAAATTCAAGTAAAAGATTTAGCATGGTTGTTCCAGCAAGTGGAGTTCCAGAGTGGTTCAAGCATAAGAGTGACGGTCATTCAATAAAAATAGAAAAGCTGCCAGATTTGAACAAGAATGATAGCAAGTTGGTGGGATATGTTGTGTGCGCTACATTTTTTCACTGTGACAAGTGGTTGTTTCTTCTTCGGTGTAGTGTGACTCGGGGTTTTTCCGTACATGAATGTTCGCGATTGACTTTTGATGTTGACTCGCGCCTGCCTGGGTTAGATCATCTTTGGCTACTCTATTTACCTGGTAAGAAAATCAAACGATTTAATAGTCCCGAGTTCAAAATTTGGTTAGACGGATGCCCGACGTTCAGAGTGAAGGTGAAAAGGGTTGGAGTCCATCCTGTGTATGAGAATGAAGATTTTGTTGAGTTTCATTGATCAAGATTTTGTGGTGCCAAGGCCTTGCTGTCAATGCTGCATTGTGTTTATGCTGTTTATTTGAGAGTTATGATTGTGTTAATTTTATATGTTGTAACTTATTATCAGATAATTAACTTTTTCTTTTTTTAATTAATTAATTTATTATTATTATTTGAGGATGGATGATGGAGAAATAAATTGAGACAACATGTCTTTGGCCTTCCTTCTGGTAAGACACTAACACAAGCAAGAGCAACCTCCACGACTGCAAGCATCTGGTTTTTTGATAGCAAGTGAAGTTGCGTTGATATTAATATCTTCATGTTCCCAGTTGGGAAACACCAACTTGGCTAACTCAATACCCTCGCTAATTGGAGGTTTTCTGGTCAGCAACTCCAAGAGAATAACATTGAAGCCGTAAACGTTCCCAGCCGCTGTTACTCCCATCGTATAGGCATACTCTGCAATAATCTCAAATACAGAAAACTAAAACAGAAAATTAATAATCTATCTGATTGCAAATTTATAAATGATAAAAAGAATAAAGATTGAGTAATGAGATCCAAGGGTAAGTATCCTGAACTGGTGATGCTAATATGCCTAAAAGAATATGTTATCACCTATTTTACCTTTTTCAGATTTGAGACAGCTTTATGAATTGCTAAATCGTACGTTATGTGCTAAATTATGCAAATTTGTAAAGGACAAAAAGTCTTCTGGAATAGACCCTGTCAACTTATTATAACTAAGGTCTAAATTCTTCACATATCTTGTGAGCCCACTAGGAATTGAACCAGTAAAATTGTTCTGATTGGCCGCAAGCTGAGACAGGGTTGATATACTTGAAAAATTTGCTGGAATTCCACCATCTAACATTTTCACAGAGAGAATTAGAACTTCCAACTTGGCAAGTTTTACAAATCTATGAGGAATAGACCCTGAAAGCCGATTAACATGCACTAAAGTCAATCAAGGTCAAATTCCCATAATCTGCAATTTCTTCAGGTATTTCGCAACTGAATTAGAGAAATGATGGCTACGTTTGAGTAAAGCCATTTCAAACAATAAAAGCAATTCCTTTTCCACAAGTTTCATGCACAATCATATACATATATACTAAAATTTTCAAGACATCTAGAGTAAAAATTTTCTACTAGTTTGATAGTCTATTGTCTTGCTCAAAAAATGAGATGAGAAGCTAATGAATAAAACAGATTATATTCATTGGGTAGATTGACCAATTAATAATATAAGGTCTATACCTGCCTAGATTCAATTGATAGACTTATACAAAAATATAATGATGTGATTGGGTGATAGATTTTACAGTAAAAGAGCAGGCTGTGGAATGCACATTCTTCTTACGTGCCTTGTCGGTTACTTGTAAGCTCGAGTTCGCCATTGGAAGGATCATCTGACATACATACAGTTGTGCGATGCTCAGTTTTTAAGTGATTTTGGATGATGCTGAATCTAATACTACTACTGGGCTGCACAATCAGTTTGGCAATTGTTACACTGATGGGATGGATTTTATGTCGGAGCAGTCAACGGCGTTTTGGAAGCTGCTTCAACAGCTTGATTAATTCGTAAGTTCTTGTGTCTTCACCGGAGTAGAGGCATAGATCGAGTGGGGTTAAACCCTCCTGAGTCAAAGAAAAAAGATTAAAAGATCTGACCGCTGCATGCAACTATGTAAGGGCAATTAAGCATTTGATGAAGTAAAAAACGAAGGATAAATAATAATATGGCAGCTAGAAACAATACAAATCAAACAGACGAAACATCAGTGGAAAGAACTTGCTGAAGTACTAAAAATGTCATACCAGTAACCAAAGAATGCCTCTGAAATCTAAATCCTATATCCATATATAATAAAAAAGAGTCCCAATGTTTGCCAAACTTATGGACAGGTATCACTTCCACATAATTTTGATAAACAACCCTTCAAAGAAATACGTTAATCAACTTATAATGACCACACGTACTTTAGTAAGTTTGAAAGAACAGAAATGACTCTTCTAGTTTTCAAGGTCGTGGTTGTCTATCATGAATGTGGAGCTTACTATTATAATGATTATGTAAGAATGTAAATCACATCATAAAAGTGCCACCTCTAGGTTCCATGATAACCAAAACGCACAAAGGGTAACAATTCAATCATCCATGATCTGGTTATGCGTAAACTAACAAAGACTTTAAGCACCTATACACAACAAGCTCTTAGTATATAATAAGGAAAGTTGACGTTAATTGGTTAATTCTTACCTGGTTTTTCAATGTTTTATCAGCTCCTTTAATCAATAACAGTTTCACTATATCTGTCCTACGGGCTTGAACAGCAAGATGTAAAGGTGCCCATCCATCCTGAAAAGTGCAAAGAAGAATATTCGCCAGCAGAACAGATATAAAATAAAATGCAAAGGAACAAAAGGCAAGTTTTTCAATGTTTTATCAGCTCCTTTAACCAATAACAGTTTCACTATATCTGTCCTACGAGCTTGAACAGCAAGATGTAAAGGTGTCCATCCATCCTGAAAAGTGCAAATAAGAATATTCTCCAGCAGAACAGATATCAAATAAATATGCAAAGGAACAATAGGCAATTGTCGAACATACATTGTCTTGAAGATTTAGATCAACATTGTATAACAAAAGAATTTTGATTGCTGGACTTGATGCTGTTTGAACAGCATAATGCAATAAAGTGGCCCCATTCTGTAGCAGCAAGAAAACATAAAATGTATCAATTTACTAACCAATTGAATGACCAAATATACTAAGTGGTGTAAATGCATTAAGCTGAACAACAGAAGTTTACAATAAACACCATTACCAAGATATTAATGAGCCTAAATCAAGTTAAAATAAGGAAATGCGGAAACAGAAAAAACAAAGAAAGTATGTAGGAAAAGATGATTAGCCATCAAGATGAAGATGAAAATAATAGTAATAATNGGCTTCCTTTTATTACTTGATGTGGCATTTATGAAATGTTATCTACTACTTCTTGGATCTCTGTTACTTGCTGAGATCATTTAACTACAATTTTGTTTCTTAAGGTTAACCTTTCAATTTTAAATTTTGTTATTCTGTAATGAGTAATTGTGTTTTAATAATGAAAGCCTTGCATAATCTTGCAGCTTACATGCCGCATATAAGCCTGCTTTATGGGACCTGACAGATGAAGAGAAGAAAAAAGCTCAAGAAAAAGCTTACTCTCTTGATGAGAGCATCGACCAACTAGGCTTCCCAATTACTCGCCTTCAATTGTGGAAAACACACACTTTGGATAACACTCTCACATCTTGGGAGAAGATTGCTGAATACAATCTCAGCCCCAATTAACTTTTCTTCAACTCCTTAATTGAAATAACTTGTAGCAAGATCCACCATACTGGTGATCTTCTTCAAGTTGTTGCATACAGTCTATAAATAGAACTCTCCATGCTGTCTGCTTCCTGTAATAAATGCAGCTTATAATGTACTTATCTGGTTATCTAATGCACGCATATATCATTAAAATAACACAAGCAATAGCAACAAGGACTGCAAGCATCTGGTTTTTGATAGCATGTGAAGTTGCGTTGATATTAACATCAAATATTTCATCCCTTTTATCTTCATGTTCCCAGTTGTGTAATACCAACTTGGCTAACTCAGTACCCTCGCTAATTGGATGTTTTCTGGTCTGCAACTCCAGGAGAATAACTCTGAAGCCGTAAACGGTCCCAGCCACTGTTACTCCCATCGTGTAGGCATGCTCTGCAATTATCTCAAATACAAACCTCAGAAAGCTAAAACAGAAAATAGGAATCTATCTGATTGCAGATTTATCAATGATAAAAGGATCATGAGTAATGAGATCCAAGGGTAAGTATCCTAAAGTACCTAAACTGGTGATGCTAATATGCCTAAAAGAATATGTTATCACCTATTTTACCTTTTTCAGATTCAAGACGAGTTTACAAATTGCTAAATCGTACGTTATGTGCTAAATTATGCTTCAAATGTATATGCTTAACAAATGTATATGATGGCCAATGTGACTAAGAATTTTCGTAAATGTAAAAGCCATACTTGGTTTGAGCAATTCTTTAGCTATGAAAGCAAGAGAGAGAGTTTACTTGGAGGAATATAACTGACAAAGCCAGCAAGCGTGGAAAGACTGCCAGTCCTCTTTGAGGGTTCAATCACTTTGCAGAGATCAAAATCTCCAAGTGGTGGTTCTTTCAGAGACTTAAGCATAATGTTTTTACTTGAAAGATCAAGGAGGAGAATTGGACCAGAGGTGCATCCTAACTGATTGCAGCTCAGATTCAAAGCAATCTGCAATTTGACTGGCAATGATGGAATTCAGCCACTTGGCTGATTTTCTCCAAGTTGGGGTTCTATCAAAGAGTTCATATTCCTGATAAGAGTCGGGTATGGAACCACTGAGATAGTTGTGTTGTAAGTTCAGGTTTGTAAGCTCTTGCAAGTTGGAAAAATAAAGAAGGTATTGAACCAGTCAGCAAATTCCAGCTAATGTTTAATTGAGACGAAGTCTTTAGCTAGGAAAACTGAGCAGGGATGTCTCCACTCAGGTTGTTGAGTTGGAGCTTCATAAGTTGAAGACTGCTGACATTACCCAATTGTGCCGGCAATGAACCATTCAGTTTATTTTGGCAATCACCCAATTCTGGAGGTATCATTCCAGTGAAGCTATTGTTGTCCAGCTCCAAGTAAGTCAATTTTTCCAGAGTTGCAAAATTCGCCGAAGGGATCACACCATGTAGTGAATTGCTTCCTAATCTTAACCTGACCAAACTTGGAGACATTTTATTAGGTATTGAACCCTCTAGCAAATTACAAGACAAATCCAGAGTCTGCAAATTTGTAAATGACAAAAAGTCTTCTGGAACGCACCCTGTCAACTTATTATAACTAAGGTCTAAATTCTTCACATATCTTGTGAGTCCACTAGGAATTGAACCAGTAAAATTGTTCTGATTGGCTGCAAAGCGCGACAGGGTTGATATACTCGAGAGATTTGCTGGAATTCCACCGTTTAACATATTCGCAGAGAGAATTAGAACTTCCAACTTGGCAAGTTCTACAATTCTATGAGGAATAGACCCTGAAAGCTGATAACATGGACTAATGTCAATCAAGGTCAAATTCCCATAATCTGCAATTTCTTCAGGTATTTTGCCACTGAAATGATTCACAGAAAGCACAAGTTGCGCTAAAACCTTAGATTTCCCAAGATTGCTAGGTATAGCCCCCTCAAACAAATTTCGACTAACATTCAAACTTTTGAGATTAACTAATTCGTCAAACAGTAAACTAATGTTTCCACTCAGTCTACTATAAGACAAACCCAAGAATTCTAATCCAACAAAACCATCAAAACTAATCAAAGAACCATTCAAGAAATTAATACTGAAATTCAACAACTTGAGCCCACCAATCCTTCCACAATCTGTGATGAATTCATGGGGAATGGAGCTCAACTGGTTTTCAGAAACATCAAGCGATTACAAAGAACTAATATTACAAGCAAAAGACAAAAACTCAGAGTCAGAGAGACCAAACCCAGATAAAAAAAGCCGAGTCATCAAGGAACCACCACTACAGTTAACTCCCCTCCACAAACCAGGGTTCGGCTGCTTTTTAACATCCCATCCTAAGGTTGAATTGTTGAGAACTTGAGAAAGTTTTATCATGGTGGTGGTTTGGTTTGAAGACTGTTGAGAGAACGCCATAGGGTATAATAAAAAACATGAAAGGAGCCAAAAGGTGGTGGTGCCATAAATACGGTTGTTCATTTCGGGGTTTTAGGAAGTTTGTTTAGTTTAGTTTCAAGTGGGTAGGAGACGGAAGAGGCATTATTTAATTGGTTCATTACAGCAAGGGAAGTTTATGACTTACGAGAAAATGTTTGGAAATCTAGTTTTGTAGTATCCAAGTCTTTCCATTCAACCGCATTCCCGTCGACCANAAACCAGGGTTCGGCTGCTTTTTAACATCCCATCCTAAGGTTGAATTGTTGAGAACTTGAGAAAGTTTTATCATGGTGGTGGTTTGGTTTGAAGACTGTTGAGAGAACGCAATAGGGTATAATAAAAAATAAAAAAAAATATTATGTTTACTCACGAGTTTTACAAACCGCTGTATTACCTTTGTTAAAATTATACATAGTATCTGTACTATGTGTTATATTTATAAAAGATAGTAAGATGGTGAGTAAGCATAACATTACCCAACTAGATTTCCAAACATTTTCTCATAAGTCATAAACTTCCCTTGCTGTAATCAACCAATTAAATAATGCCTCTTCCGTCTCCTACCCACCTGAAACTAGACTAAACAAACAAAACAAACTTCCTAAAACCCTGAAATGAACAACCATATTTATGGCACCACCACCTTTTGGCTCCTTTCATGTTTTTTATTACAATAATGCTACGGACATCGAGATTTTTACACCAAAATATTATATCGGCCTACGTGTAACACGCTTTTGATTTTTTTAATAATTTTTTTCTAGTGAACGGCCGTCCATCAAATTTGGACGGCCGTTCACTCACATGGATGCCCGTCCATATTATAAATAGGGACGCCCGTCCATAAGTAAAATGGAATAAATTTTTTTTATAAAAATTTGGGATGGTCGTTCATCCATTATGGACGGCCGTCCTTTCATTTTAGACGGGCGTCTGCAAATAAGGGACGCCCGTTCTTAACCAAAATATGAAAATAAAAAAAAAAAATTTGGGAACGGCCGTCCCTTACGTTTGGACGACTGTCCATTAAATGGACACACGTCCATACTTTAAAAAAAAAAAAAAAACACCTTCTTCACTCTTCTTCTTCTTCTTCGCCAAGCCAAAAACCACAGCAACATCTCTCACAACATAGCTCATTGATCTCCATGGATTCTTAACCCAACAATGCTTAGGATCTCCACTCCATCCCTATAACACCTCAAATCCATTTTGCAGCAATCCTAATCCTCTCACTGAATTATAGCATAAACAAAACAAAAATAACCTTTAGATCATAATCAGAAGAAATAATATCCCAAAATTAAATAATGAAGTTAGAAGCAAACCATCCTTAGCATTCGTTCCATTGGTAAGTTCCCCATTAAGAGTATAAACTTCCATGGCATTAATGAGAGGAGGAAGAGTGGAGTCATCATCAGCCTGGAGGGAAATTTGGTTACTAGCAGAAGCAATTCTATTAGCAATATAAACTTCAGAGGCAGCTCCAAAAGTCGAAACAATGGAGGCCGAAACAGCCTTGCTATCGATGAACAACTTGAAGGATCTCTTGTGTCTGCGACCGAGCTGAGTTACTTCAGAGAAGTAGGTCGCCATGAAGAAGGGAGTCGGCTTTTCAAGAAGTTTTGTGATTATATTTATCCCTATCAAAGTGCTTGAAGAAGTTACAACATTTTGTAGCACCAATGGTGGAGGATTGTCAGGTGGAGTAGTTACTTTAATGGAGGATGCTTCATTTGAGACTGTTGTTAATCCAAATTCTCCTGTCGCTGCTTCCAAGATTCTATCGTGAGGATCAACTAGATATCAATGGAGATCAATGAGCTATGTTGTGAGCGATGTTGTTGTGGTTTTTGGCTTGGCGAAGAAGAAGAAGAAGAAGAGCGAAGAAGGTGTTTGGGACGACAGTCCAAAATTTATGGACGGCCGTCCCCAAATTTTTATTTTTTT